ATTATATGCTCAATTTCCTTTTGCCAGCCACTTATTGCTACTTGTCCCAACTTTTTTAGGATTTGTTGACACTGTGAAATTTTGAATCAACGTCTTTTTCCTTTAAAATGTTACATTTACTCAGATTAAACTTTTGATCTGTCATCTATGTTGTATTACAAATAAAATATTGACATTTGCCATCTCCACATCATTGCATTCAGTTTTTATTCACAATTTGTTTAGTGTCCCAACTTTTTTGGAATCCGGTTTGTACTTAAACTGCCTTTTGGGCAAAGGATGTTTCCTTTAACTTCACATTTTCTTGTTCAACTTTTAAAGCAGTCACTGCAGATGAGTGATTGTCAGTTTCTGTCAGATTTCTGCAACTGGAGCAGGTATTTCTGTTTACTGGTTAACTTCCTCCACTGTCTCACATTTTAAGGGTCAATTCTACTCCATGTTTCAGCTCCTTTCATAGATCAGATCTCATAGAAGAGCACTTCTAAAGAGCAAATTTTGTTTTTAGCGTTTGTTTTGGGCCATTATCTCGTCACAGGACTCATGATCTTTAATTGAGACCAGACATTTTGACAAATGGAGCAGGTTTCGCTTCAGATGCTTCATATTTCATTGTACCCAGACCACACTTAAGCCAACTTGTGTCAGGTGCAGCCTACAACCCAAGGACTAAAGAGAATCTTCTTGTGTTTGACAGCAGATATAACACTGTTTCTTAGAAACCTTCACTTTTAAAAAAGAGCTGATGCAACTTACCTAAAGAGCAACAAATGCAGCTAGCCAATCGGTGTTTGTCCTCTACAAATGCCTATTCTCCAGAAACACCCACTTTTGGTCTGCAGAGAACCAACCTCTCGTCAGGAAGACAGGGCTGAGGAACAAAGAGGAATGGAGACAGGGAAGAAAGAGGCAGCAGGACAGAGAGGATGATTTATTTCAATTAATCAGAAGATATGAGGCAGCAGAGAGAAGCGCAAATGTAAGTAGGGACAGAATGGAGAGGCTTTTCTCAATTGTCGAAAGAATTGCAATAAATTGATTTATTCTTGTTTTTTTATGTTCTTGAAAAAGGTGTTTTTTGTTTTAAATTTGAAAAATAAAGTGATTACAAAAACTAGTATTGTCAATAACAAAGTCCATGCTCAATAATCCAGGTATAAAATTCAAAATTTTTC